CACTGACCTTGCCTGCTGCTGTCTATGGTATCTTCAGAGAGAGGAAGGATCAGTTTTGCTAGAATTCATATCAGACCCTCCAAGTGTCCCTATTTTCCAGGGATGTCCCTGATTTAGAGAAGCCGTCCTGTTTTCTGATTTGATCCTGGAATGTCCCACTTTTCCTTAGAATGTCCCTATTTTCACTGGAGAAATGTTGGAGGGTATTGGTAGGATGTCCCTATTTGCATTGGAGGGTGTGGAGTTATCCAACCCCCAAGCCATCTGAAGGCAATCCTGTATTTTGATTATAAAAAAATATTTATAAGCTGAGGTGGAAATGTGATGAGCTGAGTTTAGGATTGAAAAATGGCAACTGACTGAAACTGAAATTGACAGATTTGTCCATTCCTATTTTATGGTAAACATACATATGGTACACACGCAACATGACAGTGAGGACTGGGCTATATTTGACGAGGCTTTAACTGTAACTTTTCTCAAGAGGGTTCATGCTTCTGAGACCATTTTCTTACTTGTGAGAATAAAAATATCTAACACCTTGATATGAATAGGAGTACTAAAAATCTATTTGAGGATTCTGTTATCTCAGGGCTAATTGGCACGCAGGCCTGTCCTGGGGGGGGGAGGTGGCAAAACACTGGAGGACAGAGCATTGTGTATCTCTCAGTCTGCTAACACCCCCTAAGCTAGCTTGCTGCCCTCAGGTGCAGCAGAGAGCGGTGTCCAATTGCCAGTGTAGAAGTAGGGGTCATCTGCCAGTCTGGTCAGCTTCTGAATCAGGAAGGGGCAGGGGAAGCATTCCACCCTTTGCGTCTTGGGCTGACACATCATCTTGTTTCAAAATCTTGAACATACAAAAGCCACTCCACCCAAAAACAAAGGAAATGTTCTGCAGTGGTACCTCTGGTTACAAACTTAGTTCGTTCCGGAGGTCCGTTCTGAAGCTGAAACCGTTCTTATCCTGAGGTGAGCTTTCGCTAATGGGGTCTCTCACTGCGCGTGCGCCTCTGGCGCGTGATTTTCGTTCGCATCCTGGGGCAAAGTTCGCAACCAGGAGCAGCTACTTCCGGGTTAGCAGAGCTCGTAACCCGAAGCGTTCGTAACCAGAAGCATTCATAGCCAGAGGTACCACTGTAAATAGAACTTGCACATATTAACCACAGACTCATCAATGAGTACCACCAATGAGCTCCATCCAAAAAGTTCTTTCAGAAATCACAAATTTGCATTTGGTAAGCAGAACTGCATATATTCTTCTTCACCTGCAGCAAAAAAAAAAGTCTAAATGACACTACTCTCCAGATTTTTTTTTAATGAACAGAAGGAGATTGGGAGCTGCAAAATGATGCCCCCTCTGGAATATGCTGCCTGAAGCAACTGCTTCGCCTTGCTTCATGTTCAGGCCGGCCCTGTGGGTGAGAGCTCTATTATGTTTCACAGACTCTGCTCTTGCTGTGTAGACAGATGCACATCTGCAGAAAAACCTGGGAAAAAATAGAGCAGGTGAACTGGTTCTTAGTACAGATAGCCCGTAAACACTTAGTTAATTTCTATTGAAAGGAAGCATTTACAAGTGTTAAGAGGATCAGGGGACTGTGAGCATGCCTTGCTGTTAAATTTCTATTAAAATTCATCCAGAGAAGACTTTTGTTTCTTATTCATTTGAATATTTAAAACATTTCTATCCCACTCTTCCACAGCATTTGCCACTCTTAGGACAGCTTAGAGCAGGGGTTGGCAAGGTTTACTGGCCATGAGCCGGATCAGTCCCACGGAGATCGCCCGTGGGCCGGACTGGCGCAGTTCGACGCTGGAAATCGCATCTGTGCATGTCCGCAGTGCTGGAAATTGCTTCTGCACAAGCCCAGATGCCGAAAATCGTGCCTGTGCAGAAGTGATTTTCAGCATCTCGACATGCGCAGACGCAATTTCCAGTATTTGCGTGTGCATAGACGCAATTTCCGGCGCTGCTTGGCAAGTCCCCGCACTGCGCTGTACCGGTTTATCACAGCACAGGGGGGACTCGCTGAGTGGGTGGCTCTGTTCAGGGGCAGCTCGTGGGCCGGTAAAACGGTCTTTGTGGGCCGCATCTGGCCCATGGGCTGCACGTTGCTGACCCCTGGCTCAGAGCATTTTAAAAAACCAATAAAAGCTCAGAGAAAGTAATCAAACAATCAACAATATCAATAATCAGCAGTAAAACCAGAGACAGATGCGGCAGACAACCCCAATGTAACCCCAAGAAAATCAGTCACAAAAGAATCCAAGTCATATTCTGCTGGAATATAAGAACAGGCAGCCCTGTTTAGGGAAGCTTTTAATGTCTGATGTATCACAGTATTTTAATGTTCTTTTGGAAGCCGCCCAGAGTGGCTGGGGAGGCCCAGCCAGATGGGCGGGGTATAAATAATAAATTATTATTATTATTATTATTATTATTATTATTATTATATTGACCACACAGTGGAAAAGCAAGGAGAGACAGGGCCAAACGGACAGCCAGAAGGAAGGGCCTGAGGCAGCCCTGACTGGGAAACAAAAAGAGCTTCCCAGCAGAATGGGGAGGGTGGTGTGGGAAGAGGGCCAAGCCACTGAGGGCTTGAAAGGTAACTGCCCACATGTTGAATTGTGCTCAGAACATGTAATAAACACATACTTTCACTCAGGCATCCCCCAATTCTGTTTAAGGTGCTTACTTGTTTAAGGAATTTAGCTCTAGACACATCAAAAAAGTGTTTCAGGAAAACGCGTTGTAAACTTTATTTCTGGGAAATCATGTTGGTGAAAGATGGGACTCGACAGCGCCATCTGGTGTCACCGTGTCATAACACACATAAAATGCTTTTTCTTTACTAACGTAACTGAGTCCATAGTGACTTGATGGGTCACTACAGGTTTGTTCTCTTTGAAATTCAGGTCACTGGAGACTTGGATGTCTTCATGATATATAGTTTACTCTCAGACTGATCTTTCTCTCCCATTAAGTTTCTAGGGGCTCCTCAAACACATAGCTTTGGTTTCAACACAGAGAGCAACGCAAGCTGGTTTATCTTCCGTGCTCCAGTTGAGAACAATCTGGACTTTCCGATTGTTCTCCTGCAACTCGATAGCACGGCCTGCAGCTTACCAGGAAGGACTGCTCTTTCTGAAAGCATCTCTAATTAGTCATTTCTATGGCAGCATACCTGTAATTGACCAACTCTTGAATCATGTAAAGAAGGTATTTAAGAGACTTGGCTAGGGTCAATAACTTAAAAAATAAACTGGTTTGACCAGTATGCTAGTCCAAGTACAGTCTTCCATCCTTTGTAAAACTACAGTAGTACCTCAGGTTACATACGCTTCAGGTTACATACGCTTCAGGTTACAGACTCCGCTAACCCAGAAATAGTACCTCGGGTTAAGAACTTTGCTTCAGGATGAGAACAGAAATCATGCTCCGGCGGCACGACAGCAGCAGGAGGCCCCATTAGCTAAAGTGGTGTCTTAGGTTAAGAACAGTTTCAGGTTAAGAACAGACCTCCGGAACGAATTAAGTGCTTAACCCGAGGTACCACTGTACAGGCTCAAAGGAGATCAAAATATGGCATCCACATCAAACCCCTTTCATAGTATCACCCCACAACAGTCTGTGTTATCTGGAATGAAATACTTGTGTTTAAGACTACAAAACCCCCATACTAGTGAGGTATAGGCCTAGTTTGCATGAAAATGATAAGCCATTTAGACCAAATCACTACAAACCGCAAGTGGGCTCATATAATTGAACATTCACCCATACAAATAATGCTCTCCACCTAGAAATCTAGACAGCAGAGAGAGAATTTGTAAGTTAAGCCTTCCTCCTTCTATGCTAATTTTCTATGTGCAGGGAATTTTTGGCATGGAGGAACATTCATTTATGTGAGATCTTCTCTGCCTCAGACTGGGACAGTGGGAAGCACTCTTAGAGAGAATACGGACATGTAAGAATAAAACATTCATGCATGATTAGGATCATAAAAAACATGACACAATATTGCTATTGGAAATGCAAGCATGAGGATGGCTAGTTCTTTATAACTTTTAGAATTACAAATTTAATGACTCATAAGTCAATACATATGTCTAAAAACATTCGGGACGTTTAATGAAAGTTAATAGGGATGGAAACACAATTGGAACTGGCCAGAATATAATGGCTGACTGATTTTCCTTGAAAATTCACTTCTGCAATCAGGACAATGGAAGTGAAACAGACTTTCTCCTTTGCCTATGCAACTGCTGTTCCTGCACCTGAGAGACAACAGGATTCCCCCATCGAGTGCGGACACAGTCTTGGCTCCAAGCCTAGTTCTGTAGTTCAAGTAACTGGCACGCATTTTCTGGCTTGCTTCTCTTCTGTAGCTAAAAGACAGCGGTCACATTTCACTCTCAAATCTCCTTACCAGTGTGTATGTGGAGGTTTTAGGACTGACAACTCACAGTATTATTGAAAGGCAACATGATTGGGCCTGGGCTTTTTAAAAAATCATTTTTTACTGAGTTTGGCATGAAAAAGGCATAACATTCATTCTCACCTCTGCAAGCAGAGACCCATTCTTGGGAACTATTTTTAATATAGCACCAAGCGTGACCAGTGGCACTTTATTGTTTTCAAGTCCTCTTTGCAGGAATTTCCTTTGAAGGGAAGAAAGTTAATGTATTTGGGTGTGTTCACGTTACTGCCTTAGAGCACAGTGAGGTTCTTTCCCCCTGAAGCGCTTTCTCCCCCAAGCAGTTCAAATCAGCACAGCTTAAATTCACTACTGTTTGTGTTCACACCTTGGCTGGAGACAAATTAGGAATGGCTTCAGGACTCCAGTCAGTGTGAAGTTGGCTTGAGAAACTATGCATCAAACAGTAGCAGTTTACAACTAAGTATAGGCTGCACATGCATTTTGGGTAACGTCATTATTATTAGTTACAGGTAGGTAGCTGGGTTGGTCTGCCGTAGTCGAAACAAAATAAAAAAATTCCTTCCAGTTGCACCTTAGGGACCAACTAAGTTTGTTATTGGTATTACCAATAGCAAACTTAGTTGGTCTTTAAGGTGCTACAGGAATGATTTTTTTATTTTGTAATTATTATTATTTATTGTATATTATTATATATTATATATATTATTATATTATATTATATTATATTATATTATATTATATTATATTAATATCTATCATCTATCTATCTATCTATCTATCTATCTATCTCTATCTATCTATCTATCATCTATCTATCTATCATCTATAATTATTATTATTATTATTATTATTATTATTATTATTATATACTGCCTTATACCCGGAGGTCTCAGGGTGGTTCACAGAACAAAATCAAAATATAAAAGCATAAAATACATAATCAAAATAAAACAACAAGCCAGTAACAGATCCCATAAAAAACACATTCTAAAAGGGCATAGGATGTCAATCAAATCAACCAAAGGCCAGGTTAAAAAGGAACCTGAGACCACCTGAGCCTTGAGCGACAGCAAAGGATAAAGGAGTACCCCCCCCCAAGCTATGGTCCTGCTCCTTCAGAGGAAGTGTAACCCCATCAAGGGCAGGCAACCTCCCACCCATCTGGTCTAGGGTCCCACCCAGTAACAGTGCCTCAGTCTTATCTGGATTGAGCTTCAGTTTGTTGGCTCTCATCCAGTCCATTACCAAGGCAAGACAATGGTCCACCACATCCACTGCCTCACCTGCAGATTTAAAGAAGAAATAGAGCTGAGTGTCATCAGCACACTGCTGAGAACGTACTTCAAACCTCTGAATAATCCCACCCAGCGGTTTCATGTAGATGTTAAACAATTTGGGGGATAGGATTGAGCCTTGCACATGGAAGGTTCCACGGGGCTGAAAAGCAATCCCCATCAACACCCTCTGGGAACGACCATCCAAAAACAGATGAAAACCCAATGCAACAGGTGCACAGTAAAAGAGGAGTGTGAACACAGCCTTCTATTCCAGGAAAATACCTTCATTGGTAGTTTGTTATGGCCATCATCATCATCACCACAACAAACAATAACAACAAATGAGACCTCCAACACCATAATTCAAAAGCACCAATTCTTTGGCGATCAGCCTTCTTTATGGTACAGCTCTCACTTCCATACATCACTACTGGGAAAACCATAGCTTTCGCAAGGTGATGTCTCTGCTTTTTAAGATGCTGTCTAGGTTTGTCATCACCTTTCTCCCAAGAAGCAGGTGTCTTTTAATTTCCTGACTGCTGTCACCATCTGCAGTGAGATCATGGAGCCCAAGAAAGTAAAATCTCTCACTGCCTCCATTTCTTCCCCTTCTATTTGCCAGGAGGTGATGGGACCAGTGGACACAATCTTAAGGTTTTTTTACATTGAGCTTCAGACCATATTGTGCTCTCCTCTTTCACCCTAATTAAAAGGTCTTTTAATTCCTCCTCACTTTCTGCCATCAAAGTTGTGTCATCTGCGTATCTGAGGTTGTTGATATTTCTTCTGGCAATCTTAATTCCAGTTTGGGATTCATCCATTCCAGCTTTTTGCATGATGAATTCTGCATATAAGTGTCCAATGAAGGACAGTCCACCACCTTCCAAGGGAGTCTGTTCCACTGGTGAACATCTCTTATATTGTTAATACAGTATGTCAAGAATAGGCATGGAAATTTTTGTCAATTTCAGTTCTCTTCGTTTCACATTTTCCCAGCCTTAAATTCTGTTGTCCACATTTCTGCAGCAATTTGTGAATTAAAAAAAAATCCTCATGAAAGTTTTTCTGCATTTTAGTCTTTTAATAAATATACCTTTGTAGGCAGTTTTAACTAATGTACAAGTTTTTGCAAGCAATAACACATTTTTGTATGCTACTTCCACAAATATATTCATTTTAATGCACACTTTCCCCTAATATATGATTTTTTGTGAATGCTGTTAGGTTGGAAAACTGCACTGCAAAGTTCAGATAAGTGCAAATTTTGAAGGATGCCTTCAGAAAGTGTGAATTTGATATTCGGCTTTCAGTGCAAACAGAACCAAATTCCTCCCCTATTCCTAGTCAAGAATCAGTCTATTTATATTCCCATTTGGCATATGTATAATGGATTGCAGATGTGGGAAAGGGGGCATTAGAGAACTGATTTCCCATATACAGAGAAAGTCAGAGAAATATCAGTTCGCCAGCCATATCCAACCTTTCTGACCATGCTTCTGGTAAAAAGACTCATGAGCCTAGTTAAAGCAATTATCATCCACTGTGGTTTGATTCTAACCTCCTCTGCTATGAAGTGGCAGCAAGTGCTCAGATCCAAATATGATATTTTTCTCCCTTCGGTGCAATCTCTCTCTGTCTTCCACCCCCTCCTCCTCCTCCTGGTTTCCTCAGTGTTTCTGTATCTCTGAACTAGTCCTTGCAGGGCTTTCGGGTAGCCTGCCAGTGGAATGAAAGGCTGTTATAATTACTAATGTCATGGGGCCAACTACAGAAGGTACCTGCGCAAAAGGGCTGGGAAGGAGAAACGCCGTTACTGCACTGTGGCATTCTGAACCGTAACTAGATTCTTGGATCACTACAAGGTCATGCAGCTATATGGATTCTTTCCTCTCCTCTCTACTTTCTTTCTCTCTCTTTCCTGAAACTACACGGAGCGATAAAACAAGTGAATATTTTAATAGTGATTTTTTTTAAAAAGATATATGCAAAAAGTCCAGTACAAAAATTACCAGCAAGTTTTGTTTCATCCCACCACTGGCAGTGCCCCATATACTGAAGTGAAGTCCTCGCTTGCGCAGATCTGAAGAGGAAGCAAAGCATGAGCAGAACTTCAGCAGGCGCTGTTTCCAGACACTTGCCCCCTTGTGCCTTCCAGATGTTTTGGAAAACAACTCCCACCAAGCCCATGGCCATGCTGTGTGGGGCTGAGGGAGAGTTTTAATCCAACACACCTGGAGGACCGCATGTTAGTGAAGGCTGAGCTGGTGAAACATAAGGGTTCCGTTCCTGGTTCAAACCACACAACTGTAATGAGTACATAAGGTGGCTTTAAGTAAACAACAATATGGGCTGCTGTTAACAACTGCAACTAGTACAGAAATCGGCACCTTGAACACTTGTGGGAATTGGGTGTTTAGATCATATCACACTTATTCCATACCACTTACATGGCCAGCTTTGGCCTTTAAAGCCCTAGTGTTTGGGACCACATTATCTGAAAGACCACACGCACCTGTATGAGCCAGCTCAAGTATGATCCTGCTCTCTGGCCTACCAGTGGACAAGTACTAAGAACAGGGCTTTCTCAGTGGTGGTCCCACACATTTGGAACCTTTTCTCAATGGAGATATGCATGGCTCATCACTGGTGGTCATTAAAAATAGAGAAAGAAAAACACGGCTGAATTGTGCTGTACTGCCCACCACTGCAGCCACTGGAGAAGCAAGAAGCAGCTGTGACTTCCAGGTTCTGGCAAGATCTCAAGGACCTCTCAGGCAAAGAAATGGGATGGGCTGCTCCTGTAACCACCTGCATCACAATCTGCCTATACGTCTTCCAGTAGAATCAAGCTGGCCTCGTTTACAGATGAAATGACAGGCTGAATAATCCTTTGGTCTGACCTAGCTATGCAATTATTTGGTTCTTTAAAAAATGGCCCCTTGATAGTTTTCATAACCCACACAAATAGACAGATGGACAGACAGACAGGTAATAGTTTTTGCTGACAGCATCCTCAGTTCCATTCCATTTAATGAAGTTCTGCAGGATGGGACCAAGCCTCCATTCTCGCCAGCATCATCTTCCCACTACAGGCCACTAAGAAGCCCACAAGCAGAGTAGGAATGCAGCAGCCCACTCCCACGGTGGTGTAGTGGTCAGAGTGCTGGAGGAGGGTCTGGGGGACCACGAAACTCACTGGATGACCTTGGGCCACTCACAGTCTCTCAGCTGAACTTACCCCACAAGGCTTTTGCGAGGATAAAACATGGAGGGGAAGAAGCTGTTTGGAGGAAAGGTGGGATATAAATGCAATAATAAAAATATAGATAAGCTGTATGATCCCAGCATCTGATACTGTGTGGAGTGTTGCCCCTTGGGCATGGGAGTTCATCAGGGAACGTCTAACATTCCCGGTGTACCAGATAATCTTGCCTTTGCTTTCCTGTGGTTTTCACAATGCAGTACGCTGAAGCAAAGGGAGGGAGAAGCCTCTCTAAAATCTTCCATCATTAAAACCAACAATGTTTCCTCATGAATATTTGCAATAAAAACAGTGCTTAGTATACAGTAGATTTCTAGCACAGCAGGGATTTGTGGGAGGCGGGTATGTTGTTATTTCTTGGCAGGAATAAAAACCTATTCAGATTTTTAGTTCTGTTTGGGATAAACAAACAAACAAATATCTCAACACAGACTTGCACACCCAAAGGCTTAGTATAGCTGGGAGCTTTATTGATTCATATCCCACCCACATAATCTGCTGAATGTGCTACAAAAATTAAGGGGGGTTGGGAATCTTCATGGGAAATTCTAGCACTCTGAGCTCATTCATTAAAAAGAAATGCCTCTCTAAATAGCACCAAGCCTAAGCTGGCAATAGGCTGGTGGGCATGTGCAAAAGGGAATTTTATTCTCTCTTCCAAATAGCATTGGTTGTATTTTTATTAAGGAACACGTGACCCAGACACACCTGCCAGAACAAGCTCTGGGGAGAGCTTTTCTGTGAGAGCTGACAAGAAATAGGAAGATGCAGCCTAGAGTTGGGTAAGGGGAAAAGCTGGAGAAAGAATTGGGTTTAAGATAAAGGTTTGGAAGGGGAAGGTGCCTGTGAATTTCACATTGTTGCTGAGAAGTAAATATCAGCAAATTACAAACAGCCTTACAACTTGTTTGAGAGTGTTAATTGAATTCCCAAGGTAGAGGAACTTATCACTTTCTTAGTTAAAAAGAGCATAAATGCCCTTTTGCCGGGCAAAACATGAGATCCTTCTTTATATCTCTTGATATAAGAGTAAATGCTAAACTGAGAGAATGTGAAGCCTTATGTTTGCGTTTTATTGCACCTGGATGGAGCTTTTTTTCCTGGTC